GTCGATAGAGAATTAAATTGTCTACAAAATGGTTTATTTACTTTTGAGTTCTGACTTTTTCAAAAATTTCTGCAAATAAAACAAAATCATAGAAAAACGTCACGGAATTACGTACGCAGGTAGAGTTTAGCTGGCCAGGCCGTAAGGTCATAATATTGTTCACCTAACTTTGAACGTTTAGCTAAAATGTTCATGCATACTAAATCATTATTATTATAGACTAGATCTTTGCAGGTTTTGTTATACCGTTGTTTGAATAACTGTTGCTGATGCCGAATATTTTGTTAAAGTAATAAAAGAATAAAATTAAATAAATTTAAAGTAGATTGATGGCCATGTTCAATAATGTAGTTGCAATGATGTAGTGCTTGTTGTGGTAGCTATTGTGAGAATAACACATCAGAATCTCTTTGTAGTACCGAGAATAAAGAGAACTAACACTAAAGTAGTAGTTATAGTAACAGAGCTGCAAAAAGAACAATACGAAAATGAAATTTATCATGTTATCTAAGTATGTCTGTTAATTTTGTTTTCAGATTTCTGTGAGATGTCATACACAATCTGATTTGATGCATGACATTCAGGATAATTGTTTTTAATATCTATTTCTCAAGACTATTAATAAACTACACTATTAATGCATACTTATGCGAAACTACTCACTAACAAATGTACATTACTCACACGGACATACAAATAGAGAAAGAAATTTGTATCAATAAGTTTTCCATCATATTTATCAAAGAATAAAAGATTTCTTATAGTTATAGGCTCGTGTTAGGGCTATTAGGCCGGGAGTTATTGTCTAACTAAAATTCTTCGTTGATAGTTACACTTGTACACCTCCAAACATTTGATTTTGTTTTTAACTATTTTTTATTCATGTAAAATAACCTTGTCATAATGATGTATAAAACGAAAAGAGAGAAAACAGACGAAAAAATAAAATAGGGATGTCACTCGATGATGAAAACAAACTCTTTTTCAATTATGATCCTTTTTAAATTTGATAAAAATGTCATGTCTCTATTGTCTGCTTGATATCGTTTATCTATTCGCGTTAGGTGTTCGGCAAGATTTGAATGAGCCAGATTCATTGATGTCACAAGATCAAATAAAAAAAGATGAATGACTATGTTTCATTTTGCGTCGATATGTTGATATTTGTTTGTTATACTCAGCACCATCATTCCATTCTCCATTCTCATTACGGTTACTGGTGTTGATCTTATTCGTTATCTACGAAATTTGATCTACGTTTGATTACTAACAATAAATTCGGACCAATTCAGATTTCTCCGATGTCGCGCTGTTCATACTTTTTATGTACTAAAGCAATGAAATACATTCAGTAAGAAAAACGTTAAACAAGAATTCTCAAATGAAATATGAAACTGATAATAATCGAAGTAATTTATTGTTATCATAAATTACGATGGATACAACACTCATCTCAAAAGAAAACAAGTAAATCATGCAAAACTGACTTTAGGCCATGATGAAGAGATTCGTGCACAGTGGGCATTCAGGTGGAAATTTAGAAAAAACCAGTGAGCTTGCTTTTTCGTATTTTAAATAGTGTTTCATATACTTCGAGTGACGGCCGATTTAATGACGAAAGAATTTTTATTCTACAACTTTTCCTTCTATAAAAGATTTGAAATACAAAAACACCATGTAAATGCGCTAATTTTTCGGAAAATTTCGATTTTATTGAAGGATAGTAAATTAGAATAAAACCGAGATCATATTCGGAAAGAACACAGTCAGACGAATACGAAATAAAAAAGAATTTTGTTTTTCGAGTGAAACTAAGAGTTTTGGAATGGATTCTTTCGAAAACGGTCTAGGCTGTAAAGTCTCTCTCCGGTATTTTGAGAACGCGCAGATCTGAACTAACATATTTTTATACCAAAATGTTCTTCGCGAGGCCGTGTATCTATGGTGAATGCGCAAAAGTGCGCATATTTTCCTGGACTGAGATATTGGTTTTCCAGAATCCATCGGTTTTTGAGGTAAACTGACCTTTTCGCACTCAAAAAACATTTTTTCCTACATGATATATATATATTCGGAATCATCGTGAAAAACTGCAAGGATGGTATATAATTCATCTGAATTCGGTCCTTCCGTTCTAAGTTCTATAAATTTCTTAGATTTGGGATTCACACGAAGAACTTTCCGCTGAAAATTCAAAATTGAAGAGAGAAACCGTGAAAGGTCTGAAAAAACTGCTTCTATAGGTTATCGACGATGCTCTATCCAATGGAATGGTTTTTCAGTTTAAAAACGTTTTTCAAAGGGTTTTCCACAAATTCGGTCTCTGGAAAACCCACTGGAAAACTTTGTCGAAACTGGAAAACTATTCCATTGGAAAGAGAATTGTCGAAAACTTATAGAAAGTGGTTCAGATAATTTCAGTACACTTATAAAGTTAATGTCCGCCTGCTCTAGCGAAAAATGCCAACTGTGCGGTGTAGGTTAAAATTCATCAAATATATCGAATTACTATCGTATATATCTGATACTATCGAATATATCGAAATTTACTAATTACAAAGATTTGTTGTAAAATACTCTATAAAACGATAGAGATTTACGATATCCCTCTCCAACGTAATCATCGCTATTCCTATACCGACCGATAACAGACAATTTTACGAGATATTAAATGACGATGACTCGTTGTCACAATTCGTTCGTGAACAAAATTTAGCTCCAAGAAATGATCAACATACATGTCATTGTGATGAAATCGAAAAAGAAAAAAAATTTATTCCAGTATAATTATCTTCTATATTAGGAAAAAAACGACAGTTAATGCTGGAAGTTCAGGGCAAATACCACTACCCTAACGACAATGTTCCATGAGAATTTAATACGACTTCCAGAGTTCCCAGATGGTCCACATTTTGCGGACAAATTCAGGACTTTTGAGGGGAGTTTTGTAATTTGTCCATTGTCTGCTATTTGTCCACATTTTAAGCATTTTCTGCTTTTGCTGTTTTTCCCCTGAGTTAAAAATTCTTTTAGACTCATCGTTATAATGGGCTGAAATTTATAATTATTTATTATCAACGCCAGAGCTGCTTAAACTTATCCATTCTAATCAAAAATATACAGTCAGCAAACAACGTATCAATTAAAATCCAGATTTACATTTCTGTTTGTTATTCCCTTGTGTTTTATTGAGTAAAATCACAGAGTGCTAGAGAAAACATTGTTTTAACCGCTCGTGAAAAAAGGATGAAGTTAAACCATGAAAATTACTTTCGTTTTTTTCTCGCATTTTTGACCTGAGGATCTGGCAACTCTGACCACTTCTACATTTTCTCTCCAAAGTTAATCTAACTCGATTTTTTTAGTTAGAAAACGATATAGTGCTCAATTACCTTGATGTATTATTTCCATCACAGAAATGAGCCGTTAGAAAAAAAATTCTGGTTGCTTCAATTAATACGCCAATGAAATGTCAATTATTAAGTTAACATCGAATTTTCAATTTTTAGTTTCTATCTGAAAACTCTTCAGTTTAATCTAAGTGCTGATCTTTTCGATTCAAGACAACTTTCTTTTTGTACGTTTATTTATCATTGTCATGCTGCATGAAAGTTTTAGTTTTATTCACCATTGTCCCGCTTGCTTAACCTTTATGTAACAAGCCGCATTTCAGCCATTTTTCCACTAAGACAAATTTTCACTCGTAACAAAATTATGTTCTGCGAATCAAATAACAAAACTGTGAAGACAAATCTATAAGCTAATAGGTTTTAACTCTTAGAAATATTTGTTTATCAACATCTCTATCTGTTTTTTAGATCTTTGGTATTTTTAGAATATAGAAGTGTCTTTTACTTGAATAGAATCTAACACTAGCTGCTGGTGTTTATTTATCGATTTTTTACTGATATATTTTCTTCTCTCATCTATGTCGATATATAAGATCGAAAAAATATTAGGTGTCTAATATTTACTTAAAGAATTGTGCAACCTACCTTACGCAAGGTTGAGTTGCATAAACGACACGTCATGCATAATCTTCATTCTAAGAATTTTTGTTGAGATTCATAATTCTAAACGTTAAAATAGAAGAGAAGTATATATTTCTTCTTCATAGTCAGTTTGGAAGAACTGATCTAATTTGTCTCCTTTTATATCAACCAAGAAAAACATTATTGATTTGCTCTGTGCATGTGCAACTGTTTTTTATGTTTGTTGTTTATGTATTTTTCTTTGGCATTGAGGAAGAGTATATTTTGTTAACATTGCTGTTATCATCTATTTTTTTGTCTAATCAAGAAAAACTTATTTCCGTAACTCACCGTTCAATGGTTGTCATCTACACGGTTCATCCTACTTACTTCACTAATGTCATTTCTATTTTTCACGTGTTGGTTTATGCTTCGTTCAAAACATATTCTTCTGTTTTAACAAGTCTTTTTGACTGCAGTTATTTGACACATCGGAGATTATATTCTTAACTTATTTTGTTTTCTGTTTTAGATGGTGTGATTACTATTTTATGTATTTGTATACAAACGTACACGCCCATAATTATTTATTTGTTTACAAACAAATGATCTCATATCTTCAATATTCTTGCTATTATTCGAATTATGTTTCTGGGTATTAATTAATTTGATTAAATCAACAGTGACCTGATTTTTGTTTTTATATGAAAGTTTACTAGTCATATACTTATTTTGTTGAATTATTACTTGTTGTTCGTCTCTCTCTCTCTCTCTCTCTTTTTTCTTTTTTCGTCTTTTGACACATAATAATTTTACAATTTTTCAAAAATTTTCGATAAAAAAGATGCAAAGATGATGTGCTGTTTGTCTGCTGAAGCTCGTGAACAAAAGCAGATTAATCGTGAAATTGAAAAACAATTACGAATTGATAAGAAAAATCAAAGACGAGAATTGAAACTTTTACTATTAGGTAATGTATTTTTATTGTGTAAATGACTAAGATATTTGAGGATAAAAGTTATCAAAATTAACGGGAGTTTTCACTAGAGTAAGGAGAATTGACTAAGTTGTTATTTTTCCTACTCATAATATTATTGAGGACAATATATAGTAGAGAGAAGAGTACGTACCAGTTTTTTTATGGTATTCTGAACGAATACTTGTTTTACAAACTAATTCATTTCTCTTCTCTTGTAGGTACTGGTGAAAGTGGCAAGAGTACGTTTATAAAACAGATGCGTATTATTCATGGCTCGGGGTACTCTGAAGACGATAAACGTTCATTTGTCAAATTGGTCTATCAAAATATATTTATGGCCATGCATTCAATGATAAGGGCCATGGAAACATTGAAAATACAGTATAGAGATAAACGAAATGAAGTATGTTTTCTTATCTTAATTTCGTTTTTTGAGAAAGACAAATGATACACAAAATTGTTGTAACATCTTTTGTTTGCCACTGACTATTAATAAATATTTTATTTACTCGTTTGTTTTAGGAACATGCATTATTAGTCCGTAGTGTTGATTATGAAACAGTGACAACATTTGAATCTCAATATGTTGAAGCAATAAAAAGCTTGTGGAATGACCCAGGAATAAAAGAATGCTATGATAGAAGAAGAGAATATCAACTAACCGACTCTGCTAAATAGTAAAGTTTATTTAATTTTATCTTCTCATTTTAGTCTAGACGTATGTTTCTTTTTTTTTTAAAGCTATTTGGATAGTATAGATCGTATTGCCTCCCCTAGTTATTTACCAACAGAACAAGACGTATTAAGAGTTCGAGTACCGACAACAGGAATTATTGAATATCCGTTTGATTTAGAAAATATTATTTTTCGGTATATATTTGAAGAAAAAAAGGTACTAAACAAATAAATGATCTATTTATTTTGTTTCTAGAATGGTTGACGTTGGTGGACAACGTTCTGAAAGACGAAAATGGATACATTGTTTTGAAAACGTCACCTCAATTATGTTTTTGGCTGCATTAAGTGAATATGATCAAGTTCTAGTCGAATCCGATAATGAAGTACGCTCAAATACTGTACCATACTTTTTAATTAATCGTTAGCTATATTGTTTTGTTATAGAACCGAATGGAAGAAAGTAAAGCATTATTTCGAACAATTATAACATATCCATGGTTCACAAATTCATCTGTGATTTTGTTTTTAAACAAAAAAGATTTACTTGAAGAAAAAATAATGCATTCTCATTTGGTTGATTATTTTCCAGAATTTGATGGTACATTAATATCTCTCAAAAACTTCATGAAATGTATTTAATTAATTTTCTATCGTATTTTTTAGGTCCTAAACGAGATGCTCAAGCTGCACGAGAATTTATTCTTAAAATGTATGTTGATTTAAATCCAGACAGTGATAAAATTATATATTCGCATTTCACATGTGCAACCGGTAAGAAAGAAACGTTTTATTTTATTTGGTTTTTCTATTACTTAATGGACTATCATTGTCTAACGGTTTGCTTTGTTTGCTACTAATAGCATCTATGAAAACGTTCTAACTATCTAATAAGATGAAACTATTACTCATATAAGATTTAAAAAACACCTGTAGTTTAAGTACATTAGTCTTTTTCGAAAAAAAACATTTTCTTTGTTATAGTATTTTCAAAGACTGATAAGGAGAGATATCCAAAAGATTATGTTGAAAAAGTAGAAAAGATATTTCATAATTCACGAAGACGTTTTGTGCTACAATGATGATAAGTTTTATACGCGCAAATTTCTGATCGAATCAAGTCGAATTGCAACGTATATTATATCTCTATTTTTTTTCGGAGGATAATACAACGTTTGCAATTTTGACTTGATCCTCATGATCGAACATCGTTCATCCTTGCTCTGAGTAGCACTAAATAGTAGTCGCAGAGTCGTAATGTTTTTAGTTTAAATAGATCAGATGAAAATGGTGTGCCACAGGTGTTCTTGTCCAATGATTCCTTACTTTTGATTCTGAAGAGAATGCAATGGCTAAAAATGGTTTGAACTCGAACCAACGTTTCAGTCAGAAGGACTTTTGATTGAACTTTTGTTTATCATATGTAAACTGAGTATAGTACTACATTCTACAAAAACATTTTCGAGGATCCAAATGACTCATAATTTGAAAAGCATACTTAAGTAGATATACGAACATGTCGCACCCAAATTCGACTTTGGAAAGGCAATGTGTTCATGAAAAATCACTCGATGGTGCGACACTTCGGTTTCCCTAATAAAAGTTTAAGACAACTAACAGATTTTATTCATAGTTTGTTATATCGCGCTTTTCTGTAGTTTACTTCGTTTTTAGATAGTTCATTAGTCACAGATCTGAAAGGTTAAAAATCGTACTTAACCGTTTAACTAGTCTTGTATTTTGTTACTTGCAAACAAAATTTATTTTCTCATTTAGATACTGAAAATATCCGTTTTGTATTTGCTGCTGTTAAAGACACAATATTGCAATTGAATTTAAAAGAATATAATTTGGTTTAAGACAAAAAAAGAAACGAATCCGCTAACGTCGTTTTTTCTTTTATTGATATATCTCAAACACAAACAAAAACAAAGATTTCGCTCTCTGACTCTACTATTTTATTCTTAATCATTTTTCTTATTAAAACTTTACTTATTCGTATTAATCTTACTACTACACTATATATTATATTAGAATGGAATGTTTTTTTTCTCTTCATTTGTTTCTTACAGTGTGTATATCAGTTTGTTTTTTTTCTCGTTTGTTTTTAATTATTATTCTTATTATATTCAAAGTCAAATCGAGTTGTATAACCCAATTTTCTTTGAGAAGTTGACAGTTTCTCTTCCTATGTGTACGTGTATGTCTGTTTATATGTATGTATGTATGCTGTTCGTTCTTTCTATAGGTACAATTATCTTTCGTGTACATGTGTGTATGTGTCTTTAAGTATACGTACGCTCTTCGAGTGCAAATAACAGTTCCCTGTTGTTGTTGTTGTTCTTATTAAGCTCAGGTTTTGCCTTAATAAAACAGTGTAATGGAAGGAAGACAGGATAAGTCAATGAGTAAGTGGTTGTTTGTTCAATTGTTTGTCTCTCTTCTTTCTTTTCTTTTTTTGTCATATATACATGCCTCGTACCTGTTTGTACTTTTCTCTCATTTTATATATTATAGAAATGACCATGAGAAACACGAAGTGCGTACGTTTCAGACAATAACAACAATACTGTTGTCTTTTTTTTCTGATAACTGATCTACCATTTCTCTAGTCTGCTGTTTTTTTCCTTTCAAAAAAAAATGCATATTTTTATTCTGCCATATATATATATATATATTTATTATCAACTTTTCTTGTTTGTCGTGTCGTTCGTGGTGTTTTTTTATTTTGTAATTTCTGATAGTACTTTTACCCTTTATTATTAAAAAAAAATGATACGTAGTTGTTTTTTTTATGTTACACATAGACCACATGTGAAGAGAAATTCTCCTTTTATGTAGCATGTCTAGTTTGTTTTCTTAGTAAAACACAACGAGACTGAGTAGCACGCGGTGTATTTTAGTTTGGACAGATGTCAATGAGAAAATACTACTTATCAAAAAGATACATAGCGAGCAATAGATGCCATAAAATAAAGTCACTTCTTCTATCTAATGTATTTAGGTTTCTTTTCTTTATTTTAAAGTAGGTACGTCATTAAACGAGGGCAATAGTCGAGTTTTTCACATGAATGGCATAGTCTCTTCAGAAGAAATAATGTCAAATGCAATAGTTCTTTTTTTTCTGTCTGTTTTTTTTTATTTCTTTTCAAATATGGAAAATGTAGAGTAATACTCGTTTCTCTCATTTGTTACGATGAACATTGCTATATGCGCGCTTTTTTATTCTTTTTTTTTCGGTGCGTTGTTTGTTTTACCCACCTCCTCTTCCTTGTCGTGTGTGTGTGTGTGTGTGTATGCGCGCGCGTGTATGTGTCTTTCATTGCAATATTTTTCTTTGTTCAGTTCGCTTCGTGTGGATAGTGGTTCGTAATTTATGCGCTCACAACCGCTTTTTTACTCATCCTCTAAATATTATTCTCTCGTTTTTTTTTGTTTTGAGATCTGAAAATAGACAATACGCAGCGGCGCGTGCCATACTCTCTCTGTTGCTGTTCGCGCTTCTGTTTTTTAGCAGTGTGTGTGCGTTTCTCTTTTATACTATATTGTGTATCATTACTAAAATCTCTATTGGAAAAAAACAACAACAGCAACTCTTTTATTCGTTGCGTTGCAGTGTCGCTTTTTTCTCTTTCTCTCTCTTTTCAGTTTTTGTTCCTTTCTCTCTTTCTCTCCTTTTTTTATCTACAATTTTTTTTCAATTGTATTATAAAAATTTTTTCAGTATATATGAATAATAATAAAAACACTTCGAGAAAAAACCTCTAACTTTTTAAACTGTTCTGTATGGTGACTGAACTAAGCCAAATTTACTAGTGAGGGTAAACAACAAATCTAAATAGATTATAGAGTTCAGCTGCAGATTAATGTTTATGCCATTAGTATTGTTATTTATTTCAGATTTTTAAATCTTTCCGATTAATCAAAAAAATTAATTTGAAGAAAAAGTAAGTTAATATTTATCTATCGTTAAGTGGAGACTTTTTACTAGACAGAAATCCAGAGTCTTTTCAGTTTTCTACTGTTTCCACACAAAGCCAGTAAGCGATTTACTTGGATATCGTGCATAGATACTATATCCTAGAAGTGTTTTCCAGTTGAAGTATTGAGTAAAGGTGCTCATTAATGTCAATTTGTCATTTATTTCTAGCCTACAGCAATAATGGCTGACGATCTAAATACAACAAATGCAGCTCTAGCTGATTTAAAAAAGAAGCGTACATTTCGTAAATTTTTGTTCCGTGGTGTTGATTTAGATCAATTATTAGACATGCAAACTGATCAATTAATGCAATTATTACATTGTCGTGCTAGACGTCGTTTAGGTATGTGTTATTATGAAAAAATGTGATAAAAGCGATAGGATACTATAATTAACAGTTTTATGAGAGTAGAGTATTAGGAGACGAGTAATATCGAATTTTTCTGCTGTTTGTTCTTGTATTTAAAAAGGTAACTATTCATTTTGCTTCTAGGACGTGGTTTGAAAAGAAAACCAATGGCATTAATTAAACGTTTACGTAAAGCTAAGAAAGAAGCACCCGAATTAGAAAAACCAGCTGCTATTAAAACACATTTACGTAACATGATCATTGTACCTGAAATGGTCGGATGTGTTGTTGGCGTTCATCAAGGAAAAACATTCAATCAAATTGAAATTAAACCAGAAATGATTGGACATTATTTAGGTGAATTTTCAATTACTTATAAACCAGTTAAACACGGTAGACCTGGTATTGGTGCAACACATTCATCAAGATTTATACCATTGAAATAGAAAGAAAAATGTGTAAAGAAAAATCTTAATGGTATTGATATTTTTCCTTCTTTTCTTACTGTTGTTTTTCTTTGTTAATCATCACTGTTGTATCAGAAAAAGGGAAAATAAAGAATTTCAAATAAAGAAAAAAAGTACTTATAGATAAAATTCTATTGAAAAATAAATAAGTAAATTACAAGTTTTCGTTGAGATTTGAAATTGTTGAGTATTATAAAGGTACAGCTTCCATATCGGTGTTAGAATGCTCAATTCTTACTTGTCCTGCTCTCTTATAGGCCACGTTCAGACTGCAAAAGTTAAAGACCATTAACAAATCTGATTGGTTGATAAAAAGTTTAGCCATCAGGAAAACTTGATAATTTAAGTCGAAATTAAGGATGCTGATTGGTTGTAAAGTTAATTAAGATCAGTAGTCTGAATATGGTTCTAATCAGAAATTCTTGATTAAAAAAATGTGACGTGACGTATCTAAATTATTTATGAAATATAGATCGATGTCTTATTGTTCGAAAATCGACAAATTATGTTCACAATACGAGGATGACAACAAATAATGGTTGAAATAGGGCTTCAAGAAGTTTAACTTGATTATAAGTTTTCTTATCGTTTGATGCGTAAAAATTAAATCGGTATTACAAAAATCATTCATATAGCTAAATCAAATATTTTTAATCTCGGCAGTCAACATATTTCAAATACATTTTATACGAAATAGTTGTAGACTATTTGCAACATCTGTTTTCTGTAATTTCAATGTCGTAGAGTAAAAATTGGTTTTGTGTAAGGCTGATTTGTTTAATATTCTTTATTTTTTTCTACAGAATAGAATACTCAGGAGTTTTAATAATTAACTCGTTTAATTAGACAGGTTTGCTTGCCTCTGAACGTGAGCCGTTTGAAGTACATTCGAGTACATCGATTTCAATTTTTTGGAATATGATCCAACTAATTGTCGAAATGAAAAGAAAACTTAGCGTGAATTATTGATGGGACAAATTTATGCATCGTTCAAACCATGACGCAAAAGGCTTTGTTGTTATTTGTACAATATATAATGAATATGTTTCGGATCATCGATATTTGGTGATAGTACTAACTTTAAATGTTGAAGAAATAGGTAGATGAATAGATAAAGACACATCATCCGTCAACACATCTAAAACATATCATCGCCTTCTATCCGTTTACTAATCAATACAATCTTGGTTTTTATCAAAAAATGGTTGAAAAATGTCGGGATGGAGATTAACAAGGCTTATAAAGATGTATAGTTTTTACAAAGACAATAGTTTGATAATTATTTTACAAACTTTAAAACTCAACTCGACGAGAACTGAATCTCTTCCTTTGATGCTACTAAGGTAAGCATTACTGATTTCTTAAAATACGTTTATTGTATTCGTTTTATCAATGAGTATAGATATAAAAAATACATTTTCCAAAAGAAGAAAAAAGTGAAAAAAAAGTACACACACACACTCATGGATTCAACCGGAAGAGATAAAAATGAAAGTTTTTTTCTGATTACTTGAATTACACTATCACTATGTGTTTCAGGGACATTACTGCGTTTGCTTGTTTGTGACTAATGTGCTTTTTTCACTTTATTATCGGTTTTATATTCGATGGGTTTATTTTTCTTTCGACTTTGTGACATTTTGTACATTGTATAGCCAAACAAACCCCAGCCAGCAAATACGGATAACACAATATTTTTTCTACCATGATCTGTCACAGTATTCAAATATTTTCTATAACCAACTAGTTTAGCTAATTCTGCAGCACTTAGTTCAACATGGCCACCCATTTTTGTATTGTTTTTTACAAATAAAAAGAAATAGCAATTCTTAAACAGAAAAGAAAAAACAGCGACGATTAGTAGAATTATATACATTTGTGAGCAAGGAAACAAACGGGTGTCTGGAGTGAAGTTCGAGACAAGTTTATCTTCTAAGAGTTGATTCAAAAAGAAATCAGTCGATAAGCACCTAGATTTTGACAGTGTACAAATATCGCGAATATAAAGAGCATACGAAGTAATTGTGTAGTTTCTAACTCTCAGAGATCGATGAAGAAGCTGAGATAGAAACAAACTGTTATTAATATATTTACACCGCTTGCTTTGCTATATTTTTATCAGATCAGATAAATGAAGAGCATTCCATGAAGAGAGTTTAAAAGCAGTGAAAGCAGCCACTGCTTTTAAACAGGGTTACATATTCAATCCAAGTTGGATTGAATATGTAAGCCTGTGTGATCTTCAATCAGGGGCATCTATCCTGTGGGTCGTTTGAGGCACAACGCCTCAAACAAAAGCGCGCGGGGCGCTTTTTTGCTGTAAAAATCATTTTCGAGGTGGTACACTGCAGGTTCGAACCTCTGAGGTGGTACAAAAGGCCCCAAATGCTTAGGTGGGGATAGACACCGCTGTTTTCAATAAAGTTTTAGCCCTTTTTTTGTCGTTCTTTCCTTTTTCGTCATATAATATGAGAGATATCAAAGGAAAGAAATACACCAATAAAAATGTTAGGATATGCCAGAAGCACGATCACGCCTAATTTTTATGTCAAAGCATAACTCGATAAAGATTTCTAGCCTTTCTGTGTTTTTAACTTTGTGTTGGCAGTCGGCAGCTCTAAATCCAATCATCCAAACGAACGTCGTTTCAGTCAATGTAAGCTATAACTAAAATGTTCTACAATCACAAAGTCGCCATATTAAAGAATTAAGGAGCTCTATCAGTGTCCGCTATCCTGTCGTCATGAGTTGTTTGGGACTTCCAATATCAGCGTTGATTGTAGTTCCTCCAGCATGCTCTAACAACTTATTCGACAGAGCGAAAAAAAAGAACTAAACAGAAAATGTTTTCAAAGCGTTTTACTATTTTGTACGATTGTACGATATGGATCATATGACTTTATACTTCTGAGTTCATCCATAAGATATCATACTATAGTATATATATTTCTTATTTGACGTGGAAAACAAAAATTCACCATCTGATCATGCAGAAAATTAGGCAGTAAATGCCGTGGCTTTTTACCTTTAAAAAGTTTAGGTTAGCTACTCTGATAATCTTTTTCAGTATATCAGCAACGTGGAGGATATTGTCATAGTGATAATGCATTTATATGAATATAAGCTTCGTGGATGTAAACTCCAGTATTTTTAGTTGTTTTTGTTAAAAAACGAGAGCAAAATGACAGAAAGAGTATCGGATTTTCATGATTCTGAAAAAGCTGTGGGCATCAAATTAATGAAAAAATCAAAAGCCGAAATTGAACACGATGAATACATGCAACGACAACATGCGATATTAATCGGGGAATTGAAAGCAGCTGAAGCAAGAAACAGGTTTGGTTTGACGGAGAGATTATTTTAACGAGGTTTTGGAGCATTCTTTTCTCAACCACCTTCATATGGTTCAAAATATACTTTTGAGATTATCTTTACGTTACATCACTTGGAGTTTGTTAATTAGAGTGATAAAATAAAACAGTAAACTTCATCCTACTGGAAACAGATCCTTTTCTTACGTTTAGATAAAAAAACATACGTCAAGTTTAAATTTTTTTCAGAATTCGTGCTACTCGATTACGTTTTTCAAAAACTCGATCTGATGAAATTGATCAAATAATATCATTTCAGCCTAATGCTTTGGGTGCATTAAGATTTGAAGCATTTATGAATAAACCTGATAAACAATCTACAAAAGTTAAAGATCCACTGAATCAATTAGAACGTCGACGAGTACAAAACTTATCATTAGACGACCAAAATCTTTTAGTTGATAGAAAAAGTTAATTGATTTTTTATTTTTCAATATGTTAATTTGCAATAAAAACTTCCTTTTTTTTTACATATCTGTGCTTGCTGCATTTTTGTACGTGAAATTGTTAACGGTGATTCTATCTCACATTTTTTTATGTCATATTTTTTACGTATTTTTTTAAAATTTTTTATTAGACAAAAACAAAATTTTCACAAGAATCTTAAATCTGAAACAGTGCACCAACAGGTAATATGGAAATGAGCATGCTTTGTTTCGGAAGCACAAAAAGAAAGGGGTTCTGAATCTACTTTGCACTGGATACCACCAAGTTATAAGTAGATTTTGAGTACGCCATAATGTCTGCGTTAGCGGCATGTTTTGTAGCAATTCATAAACACTACATTAAGTTCTAGAATATAATATCAAATATGATCAAACCGCGTTCAATTTATTTGTCAGCTAAGTTAAATTTTTGACAGAAAAAATAGAAAATATACACGCAGAAAAGAAACGTTAAAAAAAAGACTTCAAATACTCAACTCATTACTATCTCCAGATTTCCTAGAAAAAAGAAGAGAGAGAACAATCTGAAATGTAATTTGTTTTGAGTAAAAAATGTTTACATACTCATCAAATATAAACTTATGCGTTGTATAACCATTGTATGCTGTATAGGTAATCGGTTTTGACTTTTGATAGGTACCAAATTCATTTCCATTAGATTCATTACCATTGGTAGATTCTAAAATTACACTGAATTTAAATCACATTTATTCTCTTATTTCATACCAAAAAGAATTAGATTGATATGTTTTTTGTATAATGGTAGAAAAAGACTGTCTGTCAATTTCATGTAAGAGCTATGTTGATTTAGTTTCCTTCAATTTACTGATCTTCTCATAACAAAAAATTGAGCTTGTTTACTTACGTGTCAGAGGTGCCTTTGTCGGACTTCTTCTATCAAACGTAGCATCATTATTCGTAGTAGGAGCAGTAGGAGCAGTAGGAACGACTTTTCTTGTTTTTTTCCTAGGTACAATAATGTATTCTTTTTCAACATTTTCTGATATTTGTTTACTACCATCCCCATCATTGTTATCTTTAGATGGAGCAGAAATCACGCATTTCTCTAATACTTCATTAGCTAATAATTTTGATAAAACCATTTGTTCTTTTGGTGATGGTGTTGTATCCACTTTATTATTTGTTGAAGCAAATGTCGATGTATCAGTTGAAAAATGACTTTCATGATGTAGTTCTGGTCGAATGGGAGTTGATTCAGTGGGACTAATGTAAATTTTTGTTACGTGTTTACTTGCGTCATCCATTTTTCACTTTCGATAACTTGTCCTCGCGAATATGTACACTTTTTGAATGTATACAGTTAGACAAACGTGTTTCTCTCTCTTTCAGTTTTAGTAGGAGAAAAAACAAAGATGTGTCATAGTTGAAAACAGGCGTGTCCGATTCTACTATGTATTCACAAAAAAATTAGTATATCTACGTCAGAATATATATCAAACGTTCTTTGAACGATAAAATGATGAATTATTGGATGGACAGAGTTGCACAAAGTGAATGAAGGTGTCTCTAATCAATAGTTGAAAATCACCATTGTAAAGTTTCAAAAATTCTTACTTTTTAATCATTTAAAGTTCTTGTAAAAAAGAATTCACACTACCTCTGCAAGAAAAATGTTAATCTCACTCATCTCTGAATCCACGTTACGCTTCTGTGAATAGAAACTGACTATCTTATTTCTGAGAAGATAAGCATCGTACTAACTTTCGAAACACTTGACAGTCTTACTGCTAGATAACTAACGAAAATCGACAAAGTTTGTTTTTTGATTTAGACTGTTTTACACTAAAATTCTTTGTTCTTTCTGTTCTTGTACATTGTTGCATCCATTTCATTACCATACTGAAATGATCGCATATAAAAACTTTCTGTTCAACATGACAGTAATATTTGGTATCAAAGAAAAACTTATCCTAAAAGGAAGAGAAAAATGAAAATTGTGCTAAACAAATGACTAACACGTGATGTGATTCAACAGAGCGCAAAAATTTGCCTATTTAATATATTTTCAGCTTGGATGGAATTTTCAGTGGGGAATGGCGTTAAGAATACGAAGTTCAGCACAAACAAATTACAACAAGTACAAACAAGTATTATTACCTTATGAAGTTTCTAGTACTTTGAGTGGTTCTGAGTTATTTTTTTGATCATATTTGGAAAATGTAAATATTTATACGTAGATCGGTTCTGCCTTGTAACAATGTTCAGGATCAATCATAATCACGTTCAGTATAATAGCTTCAAAGTCACAAGAAGTCAAAATATATTATTGCACTTTGTAAATTTTCTGTTTCCAAGAAATCAAACCGTCTTTTTTGACGTTTGATACACGATATTATTATTCGGTTCGAAGTCAAATCTGCTAAAAAGAAAAATGAAGACCTTACTCTCGATCCATTTTGCTTACTTTTTCCGCGCATGCTCAATTTTAAATAATTTTAGCTTCAAAAAACGGACGATGCTTGTGGTGAGAAGTGGAAGCCTATAGGAGTTTTGATTCAAATTAGTGCCACACTATTATCGATACTTTTCTCCAGTTGTATTTTTACTTCGTCCATGGTGGATAGTAATTTAATTATGAGTGTCCTTTGATACTTGTACTAATGCTAAAGATTTTTTATTATTTAACTTAGCAATTGGATTAATAGACGAACACAAATGGAAATAATGTCAGATGAGTAATATAACAAGCGCAATCCCGAATTGAATGTAATACGTGTCTTCTAAGATATTATGACTGTATAATTTTGTTTGTTTGGTAAGTATACTTATCTTTAACAAGTTGTTTCCTTCTCATTTCTATTGAGAATATTGAGAAAAACAAACATATTTAAAGTACTTTTCTCTTCTTGAAAGTATTTTTTTTTCCCCTAGTATATTCCTTATTTCTCTCTGTCAAATTTGCTAAAGTATCATCTTCACTGATAATTGTGTGGAAATGTTAATTCACTTTTTCATTTACTTCACCCGCATGTATCAATGAAACAAATTGTTTATCTATATATACATGTATGTGTGTGTTTTGTGTTCCAGGATTAATATAAATTGTATTATAACGCACCAATTCACCAAGAACACATTACAGGTTAGAAAAATATTTCTTTCTGATAGATCCTGAACTATTCACAGTATATTAGAGCCATTGTAAGCGCTTATTGATACGTTTGACTTTCAACTGTTACAACTCACTTAATTTAATAATCTTTTTCTGCTTTTTACAGTTATACGGATGAAACAGTTCTCTATCAAAGTGACAAAAAATTTTAATATTCCTCTTCTCCGATCTCTCCTTCTGCTTTAGAGAGTGACACAAAATTTAGACTCTTGTTGTTGTTTGATAGATAGATCTCGGATAAAAAAAAACTTCTCATCAAACAAACAAGTTGTAATTTAAAAGACAAATAGAAAAACCTTTGAAAAGAACATTTTGAGTATCTTGATTAGATCACATACATGAACATCGCACACGAAAACACTAATTTAACAGAGAGCGAAGTTAGAGAATATTAACAGAATGAAGATTGATAGATGCAAAATTGCAAATAAATCATCTCTGTTTAACACTTCATTTTTGCTTTCAACTTTCATAAAAACAAGAGGCAAATGCCCTATGGAATTTCATCTATTGACTTGATATATCTGTCTAAAAATTTCAAAAAGTGACAATAAGATAGTTGTGTTTTCAAAGTTCTCTCAAAAGATCCGTTTGAAGTGTAGTCTTGTTCGCAAGTATCCATTCATCCTCATTCAAGGATGACACGAACATCTGAAGACAATAATATAGAAATTTTATAAATCAAAATAGTTTTCTGCGATTTTACGATGTCAATTTTTCGATTTGGTAATGTTTTTTTGCAAAACTATATTCAAAATTAGAGAAAACTAGCGATATTTAGTAGTTTTCTTGTCCAAGTCTCTGTTTTTTATCGTTTTCTCTGTTCTGTCCTTTCGTAAGTGACACAGAATTTGCACTTGTTGTTGTTATTTGGTAAAGATTGAGTTTTTTCTTCTTATTAGATGAAAAAGTATGCGTATATATATATGAGCACTTAGATAAGCAATAAACCATGTATACAGTAGAGATGATTTATTTGCAATTCAAAACTTTTCTTTTGTATCTATCAACCTTCATTCTGTTAATATTCTCTAACTTTGTTCTCTGTTTAAATTAGTGTTTTCGTGTGCAATGTTCATGTATATGATCTAAGCAAGATGTGGAAAATATTCTTCTCAAAGGTTTTTCTATTTGTCTTTTAAATTACAGCTTGTTTGTTTGGTGAGAAGCTTTTTATCTAGGATTGCTGAATGTTTTGTAATACGTCATTTTAGTTTTTAGTCTCCGTGATCCATAATCTGACAACAGCGATGTATTATTTAGAAAAAGCATTTTCTTGTTCTCCTCCTTTTTTTTTCAGTTTATACGACAAAAGTGTGAATTTTGCTTTCATAGAAAAGATTTGAACAAGCACTATTTTTTTTTGAGATTGTAAGACGAGAGAAAGAAATTGATTCGTTTATTATTTATCGATAATTTGTGTTTTCTTGACTTTGGACAAAATAGATGAATATAGGCCTTGTTTCCCGTAGAGAAAAAAAATAATTGTTGCATAGTTTAATTTTTATCCTGTTATCTCATACTATGAGTATCAGTTTTCATAGATTTTCACTATAACGCTGTCGTAATCAATTAAAAATTCGACACTTGTTAAAATTGTTATTCATTTAACAATTATAATGATCACTTGTGTGTATACGTTTGATTATTCTCAGCTGGTATGTAAAGCTCAGATCTACACATAAAGTTATTTTTCATCTTTCTCAGTTCTTCAAAATAAATATTTCAATTATGAAACCATCGCATCAAGCCAATGCCAATATTGTTGTTTTTTATGCACATAGATTCTTCTAATTGCCATTAGTTTTATTTATACGTGTCTTGTAGTAAGAATTTTGTTATTCAATATTGATAGTACGAAATAACTTCTCTCATAATTTTTATGTTTTAGTTTTACCAAAGATTTCAGTCCTACTTTGTACTTTTTGTGGAACTCCTCCGAATAGTTTCTGAAGGAAGTAGTGTAAGTTATCTACTCCGAACCCTAGCGTTTTTTTGTTTTTTTTAAAACGGATTCTTTTCTAACGCAAACTGGCACCATAAGCTAGCGATTGCTATTAAGAAAGTTTTTTGTTATCAAGGCTAGACAAAGGCATACGAGTTTTAAGTTCGCTTTGCATGATTAGCTGCCGGGGACGGGGGTAAGGGGTTGATGATCTTCAAATCACCTAGGGTCTTATTTACGATATTATAGCCTCTGGTTATGATCTTAAAAATATCTAGTGTCCTTCGTTATGGTCTCGAAACTGTACAAGGTTTACAGCTATGATCTTGATGAAGCAGCCACGCGGTCTATAATTGTTATCTTTTTGCTAAGGGACATACCCATACACAGTGGGCATTTTTCCATAGAGCAGGCGAACATCTAGTTTTTGAGTTAAAAATGATTATCCTTGCATAATATTCTCTTATTATGTGTCAGATATTAATAGAAGTAAGAAAAGTCGAATTTGAAAAAAAAAATGTTTTTTGATGAGAAATACCTGAGAGCTACCCTTGTCTGAATTTTTTTTTCGACAAAAGCTTTATTTGTAAAACAAACCGATTATACATCATTCGATGCAGTTTTTCATGCTGATTCCAAATATCACATTAGTTTTCAATACAAGTGCCTCCTTACCCAGAAAAATGAAAAATTACATAAAAAACTGACGGTTTTCTAGAAAATCTAGATCTCGGTTTGTAAAATCGGTGGTAGATCTCGGTTTGAAAAAGACACAAAGTAGTATCGAGACGTTCGGTAAAACTAAAACATAAAAATTATGAGAAGAGTTATTTCGTATTTTCAGTATCAAATAACAAAATAAAGAGTCTTTCACCTTAGTATAATAGTAGTTATATTTGCTTTTCGTAGACTGTTGTTACTTATATCTTATACACTACATGTGCTCTGAAATCAAACTGAAGGAGTAAATCAATTACGATGTATTTTTGGCAATGAGTTTAAGGAAACGTAATATAAACCTTTTGTACGATCTAATTTTGTTAATCATAACTCTTAATTATGTCAAATATAATCTCCATAATATAAAACTGTAAGGAATGTGGTGTTCTCGATCTCACCATATGTGAGAAGGAATAAGATTGTTTATATATAAATAAAGGCTCAATGCGTCAAGATAAAGATCAAATGAATAAGTGTATAAAGAAATGAGAATTAGCGAAAAATACTTATTTCATGATTATTGGTTCTCCGAGCACTTTTGAGGTAATCACAAAATCAGTGAAAAAACAAAAAAATGTCGGAGATATACAATGAGAAAATCGTTGTTGTAGTTTATTTTCATTTTCTTTTATACACATCTGTATACAATATCTATTCTGTTTTATTGGGTTGGTGATGTTTTCTTAATAGACATACTCGAACAATATATATAGTCCAACTTTTGATGAAACGATCTTTGGTGTTTATATATGTACACAATGCAAAAAAAAAAGAATCAGTCGACTCAAATACATTAATTACAGTCAATAGAGATTTTCTTTCAATGTTATTGATGTTGTTTTCATCTTTATTGTTATTGTTATACAGTCCATAGCTAAGGTGATAATAAATAAAAGTTTTTGTCGTCAATCATTATACGAGAGTTTATGTTTTCTACATTCTTTTTGAGAGACAGGTAGGGGAAAGGTGTAACTTAAAAATGTATTAATGATAGAAACACTAATTAATGTTAGATATTTGAGAGATCTTTATATTCTTAATTAGAGAATAAAAGAATTGACCGCCGCTGAACTGCTAAAAGAAAAAGATGTTTTAATACTAAAGTAGAGAGATAGAAAAGAAAACGTTTTCGTTTCGTATGAAAAGTTATATGACTCTAGATATGAATATTATAGGTTTGTTTTGGAAGATAATCAAAAGAGTATCATTACTGTGTGACCACTCATTCAAACAACTATAAAGAACTATGAATAGTAAAATAAATTTCAGAAAAAATATAATAAAGAAGTATATAAAGATTTTTTTCTATTAAATTAGTTAATTTCTTTGGTATATTTAATAGTTTAGATATAGTGGTTGTAAAATTCATCTTTTATCTAGAATAACTTAAAAACATCTAATAGTTATTAACATCTAGTAATGCAATTTGTTAGTGACTAAATGAGTTTTAATACATATACAATTGATGACATATCGTGACAATTAAATATTCGGTATATTTAATAGATTCAAAACGATGATAATGATGTCGTATGTCTTTGTAGTATTTATTGTAGGATTGCGATTCGATTATGCATTAATTTTGGTGACAATTTTTTCTAATTTTTTTCTTTTAGTATTATTCAAATCTAATTTATTACATAAAAGAAAAATCTTCATGTTTTCATAATTGAATTCAATCTCAATGTTATTCGATTCGAAAGTAGAAGAGTAAAGGGTGAAAACAACACAATATATACATATATAATAAAATATTTAATAACAAAAAAAAAAGGGAGGAAAGTGATTTCGTTTAACGATTTCAATATACACAATTTTCTTCTTCTAGTAAAGAAAATATGCTTCCTCTTTTAGAACAATTCAGTTAAATAGTTCGTTAAAGATATATAGAGAGAGAAAAACGTTATGCCTATTATACATGAACAAACTGTTTTTTTTCTATTCTCTTATTTTTATTTTTATTTTTTGTCTTTTCAGTATAGACATTATTATTGAAAAGATAAATCCTTATATAGAATCATAAAATGCTGATGTTAAGAAAAATAAATAAATTATAATAGAGAGAAATTTTTAAGCTATTCAAAGGTAGTATCTAGAGTAAAAGATGATCATTAAAGAGAAAAAATGGTATGCACTTGTAATAAGTGACAAAAAAATAATGTTTTATGATCACTTCTGAAATACTGAAACTTTAATTCAGGTAAAAATAAAACTGAGACAAGTCATGTTTTTTGTGTAGTACACAGTGGGCATTTTTCCGTACAACAGGCAGACATCTGTTTTTTTAAGTTAAAAAATGATTATTTTCGCATAATAGAGTCTTATTATGTGTCAAATATTAATAGAAGTAAAAAAAGTCGATTTCGAAAACAAATGATTATTCGATAAAAAATCTCGTAAGGGAATCTTTGCCTAACTTATTATAGAAAACTTGTGAAAGTTTCTGAATTCAGGGTAGACGCAGGATAAGCTAAGAAACATTTTGGCTTAGAAATGAGTGAAATCGGACTTTAGCTTAATCTAGCGATACGATTGCACTGAAGGCGCCTTTTGTTTTGGCAGTTCTTTCGGAAATAAAGCCGCTTTCAACGATTATGTTTGAACTAAAATTGATATTAAATGTGTTTTTGTTTTTAAAAACAAAGTAAACATAATATTCTTAAGAGAGCGAGATATAACATACTAAATGAGAAGAAAAGAAACATCTAGACATTAATTGTTTTCCTATCTATAAAAACGATTTTGATCAATTATGTTGTTTTTTCTACAGAGCAAATAACTATTAACTTTCTCTTTTCTCTTTTTCTCTATCATAATCAAGATCTACTAGTTATATTCTATATATTATGACGTATATCTGTGCACGAGTACAAATACACAGTATATATAAATATAAATCTCAATAATATTTAAATAGATAAATAAACAATTTTGTGTTTTTAAAAGAAAAAATAAATATATTACCATAACTCTGATTATTATATCTTTTTTTCCAGATAATATTCGGCATATAGCATAAAAAAGTATTGATCTTGAGGTATAGGTAAACATAAAAAGAAGGTAAGCATAATTAAATAAAAATAACTTTTTTTTCTACGTTCTAGTTCAGCTTCCGTAAAAATTGTTCAGTGACACATGCTCTACTATATCTGACATAAAAACAAGGCACTTTCTAATTTTGCCTATAGAGAAACATGAAATGTTGAATAAATTTGAAATATAGTTCTTTATTACATTTTGATTGTCGATAATTCATTTTCGATTTCCTCAAGAAAAACATGTCGTACATCAGTTTATATGGAATATATATATATATATAGAGAGAGAGAGAGAGAGAGAGAGAAAATAAATATATCTGAGATTTCAAAATGTTTTGCACGCATTGAGAAAAAGGTTATCATTGGATTCTGCTAAAGTGCTCAATAGTCCTACGGTTAAATTTTTGTAGAATAAATATTTCAAGTTATAGGTTATTTTTACGCTAAACCTATCATTTCCAAGTCTTTAACGGATGGTATAGTAGAAATAAGCCTTTCAGTATTTGTCATTTTTCTCGATTTTCTTCGGCTCGCTAGAGTTAAATTTTTTTAAAAGATTTGACATTCAATTTTCCACAAGAATCGGTAAAAAGTTCATGTAAAAAATATGATGATAAAAGATTAGAGAAAAAGTTTTAACGAGCTCTAAGGTGACAAATTATTTAAACATGTTTTAGTAAGAAGGTAAAATGTTTTTTTCCTATTGTTCTAGCATCAAATAGAATCAAAATACATTTTTATGTGTTTTCAAGTGTGCTCTTTCGCCTCATGTTGATTAAATATTTTGATGGAAAATAGCGAAATATCGCCTTTCTTCTATCTCCACCCCAGCATTAAAAGTCGACTGAATCTGTTGTTGTTTTTTGTGAACGAATACGATACAGTAGTCATTTCTCTTTACCATAAAAAAAATTCAATCTGAATACTTTACATTTTGATCAAACTAGAGATAAAATGGAAACTTGAAACTGATAGACTAAAAGCAGTGGGTTTTTGCTAAAATCTAGAGAAATGCGACATACTTAAACGTGAAAAATCTCTAATTATGACTGAATGATAGAGTTTTTCAAAGTCTACAAACTGCCGAATGATTTTTTGACTTCTTGTAAGTAATCAACGAATAAAAGTGTCATCAGATTTAAAAAATTTGTCACCTTCGAACTCGTTAAAAACTTTTTCTCTCATCTTTTATCATTATATATTTTTTATATAAACTTTTCACAGATTTTTATCGAGAAATTTGAATATCGAATTTTTTTCAAAAAATTTAACTTTAGCACGAATCGAAAGAAATCGAGAAAAAAATGACAAATATTAAAAGACTTATTTTTTGATTTGTAGAATGATTTTTATTTTCGAAAACTAAAAATCAAATTTCATCTTTTGGACTAGAACGTTCTTTCAAATTTGACTTATATTATCATGAATTAAGTAGCTAATAGCAAATAAAATTGACTAAATTTTTAGTAAAACTGTTAGTATCTATTCATCATCATTGAACAGTAACAGTAAATTAATTATTATTTGTAGTTAAAAATGTAGAACTTTATTTATTATAGGAAACTGTTGTTCATTTTTTTCTACAATTCATATATATATATACACACACACACTAATAATACTATTTTTTATCTATTGTTAGTAATGAGCCACTCAATACTTGTCAACAACTTATTTCAAGTATCCTCTTGTGGTTTAAAACCATTGTTTTCGTCTCTAGAAAGGTGTTCAAACATTAAGTATTATTACAGTACTATTAAAAACGATTCAAATTTGTATATCTGCTTTTTCTCTATCACCTATATTCGTTTCCTTTCTCTATCATAAATTCCATTTAGAAAAACATATACATACATAAAATAAATAAGACTTTATTATTACCGATGATTATTAGGCGTTTTTTTCTTTTGTTTTTATCGCGCTTTGTGCTTACTTACTCTCAGACATGTATAACATGGCTAATATTTCAGAAAACGTGTTTCTCTATTCTCTCGTGTCAAATAAAAAAAAATAAAAGACACCAAGAAATTTCGTTAATATTTTTTTTTTTAAGACTATAAATATAAAATTATTAAAAACGTTTCTCGATTAATTTTTTTTTTATTCTCTTCTCTGTTTTCTTTTGTTAGTTTTATTCTATTTTTCTATTGGTATGTGGTAAGATTGATTTTAATTTAAAATTAACAGTACGATATTTGTATTGTACAGAGTAAAAACAAGATGAGAGAGAGAGAAAAAAGAAGAAAAGAAAACGTATCAGGAAAAGACAAATGTCACCGTAAGGCGTATTTATACTCAATTAGTTACCATTTGTTATACTTTTTGATATCTCAGGAAATAGAAGACGAAAAGTAATATTATTTTATGAAAGAAATTTTATAGAAAAAAAAACTGTTAGTCCTTTTATATTTAACGAATGTGATATATGTCTCTATCCTTCATCTATTTAAAACATAAATATTCATTTATAAAAATTTTGTTTTTTTTTTAGACAATGACTTTATGCTTCTAGTATGAATGATTTATTACCATTATCAAAATCATTTTTGGATGACACATATTTAACATTGACACAGTCAACATTATTTATTAATTTAACAACAACTACAAATGGTTCGACATTATCGACAACAAAAACTTCATCATTCTCGGATGATATATATCGATATATAGCAGAAATAATTATCTATAAATATGTTTGTATGACAATATTTGTCATTGGTATGATTGGTAATGGTCTAAGTGTTATTGTATTTAGTCGAAAAGTATTACGACGACGATCGTGTGCTATTTATTTTCTTGCTTTGGCTGTAACAGATTTATTAAATTTATCTTTTTCATTAATTGATACTGTGTTACCATCTTATAATTTTAGTATTACTGCTAAATCATTAGTTATATGTAAATTAAACGCATTTATGGTTTATTTTACATCAGATTATTCAAATTATTTATTAGCTGTAGCTAGTATTGATCGAGCTGTTAGTATACAATGTCCATTAAAAGCAAAAACATTTTGTAGAGCAAAAGTGGCCATTTATATTATTATTACTTTAGGTAGGTAAAAATATTAATCTACTATTGTTGAATTTGATCATTTAACTTTCATATAAAAACTAAAATTATATTTTTGACTTCTAGGTATGTTATTATTATTAATTAATATTCATTTATTAATTGGTTTTGAAATTGTTCATTCACCGATTGGTCAATCTGGATGTACAGCAACTGAAGGAAGCTTTTTTGGTTTTTCATCTTCAACACTATCATTATCGGAAGAAAATGAACAAATAACGACAAATACTGATCTAATATCGTCATCAATTGAAACAACGATGAGTATGAAAAAAATAAACGGTAATATTACGATTATAACTAATAAACAATCACCACCGCCTTTAAATTATCGTCGTTTTTATGAAATTTATGATTCATTAGATATTTTACGTGCCGTTGTCATTCCATTTTTAATTATGGTCGTTTGTAATATATTAATTATTATTCGTGTACTAGAATCAAGACGTTCCATTACAACAATAATAACATCAACATTAAATAATAAAAATAAATTTCGAAAACGACACGAAAAAGATCGTCAACTAACAATCATGTTATTGGGCAGTGCATTGGGTAGGTAGCCAAATGAAAATGAATTATCTTTATATAAATACACATGTCTTAATTGTTAAAATCTGCTTATCATTAATTATTAGTCTAAATTTTTTCATAAATATTTCTCGACAGAAAAAAATTTGTGTCATGATGTTTAACGATTATTTGTTTTTATTTTTTTATTTAGCATTTCTCGTGTTAACATTGCCCACTGAAATCAATGATACTGTTCGCGCATTCCGTTCATCAACATCATCGTCAATATTAAATCAACAAAAGGGTATTGAACCATTAATAACAGCCATATTTATAACATTAGGTCAATTAAATCATGCCATTCATTTTTATATTTACACATTAACTGGTAGTGTATTTCGAGATGAATTATTAAAACTAATCAAATGTGTTAATTGTCAACTATTTGGATGTGAATGCGGCGGCGAAAATCAACAACATCATTCGTTATTAAAACTAGCAACAAATAACAAAAGATCATCATTGATCACTACAGTGAATAATAATATCTATGTTAATGATAAAATGACACAAATTGGTTTACTTACAGAAATAGCCAGTCCAAATGAAAATGAATTTTAAAATATAATCAATCTATTACATTTTTGTTAAAGATAGTTCTCTAAATTTTTTTTTTAAGAAAATCAGTACCTGGTAGAGTAAAAAACGATCAGATAAAAAAAAGAACGAAATAACCTAAGAAACACAAATACGCATCTTTCTTTTTAGTCCTAACTTTACAGGTGATTTAAAAAAGAACAATTTTACGAAATTTTTTAAAAGTACTTTTTTCTTACAGATTAATCCGTAGCATTTCATTAAATAATCGGGTGAAAAATGTGAAACAACACTCTATGATTTAAGTAGTCATCTAGAATAAACAGAATATATTTTTAAATTTTATTTTCTACAAATCTCTAATGAATTTCATTTAGTAATACACAAATAGAATACAAAAAAATAAGTCACAGTGACTAATATAGCCTATACAAATATACACAACGCGACAGAGAGACAGAGAGAGAGAGAGAACACACGAAAAAAAACTCATTTAAATTGAGCTTGTTCATTATTTTCTTGTTAATGGTGTTGCTCGTCTAAAACTAGCTATTGTAGCTGGTTGTCGTTGTCCATAACCAGATGATTTAATTCCTTTTCGATTGACAGGTGTTGTCGTTGTTGAACGAACGGTATTCAACGGTGTTGCTATATCAGTACTAGTAATACGAGTTACTTTTTGACATATCTTCGATGGTTGAAGAGCACTACGTAACGGCGTTAACAAATGAAGATGTTGACCGGTGACACGTTTCACAACAGCTGATTGGGATAAAACAGTCGATGATTGCTTTTGACTCGAATAGCAATTGTGTTTAGCCAATTTTAATGGCGTTGTGTTGACACTTCCTACCAAGTCATCATCGGATATTGATCCAGATTGGAAATTGGGACGAGAGCGACAGATTAAATCTGTATTTGAACATGTTTTTTGTTGTAATCGCATTTGTTTTGAGTCTATGAAGAAACAAAGCAAAAGACCTAGCCCAGTTGGAGTGTTATAAGTTCAGAGGAGCTACTTGGACTAAGGATGACGCTCTACAGAATAGCAGGATCCAAAAATTATAACATTTTTTTCTGTACTGTCACAAAATTTAACGTGGACACAGAAGAATACTTTGAGACTCAAAAATACTCTTTAATTTTCTATAAGTGAGCTGTTTGAGTGTAGTAACAAGTGTGACAGTCTTTATCAACCGAAAAAATATAGTTAAAATTGCTGTAAAAACAAACCTTGTTTGAGCATACCTGATGAGAACGAGCGATGTTTTCGTTGCTCAGACATCATCTAAATCAAAAGTAAATTCAGATAACATATTTTTTAACCGAAATTACACTATGCAGTTTGCTATTAATCTTGAAAATTTTGGACATATTTTGATTATTAGATGCGTAGACTAGTGCTGTCTTATACAACGTCTTATAGCGTACAGTGAAAACGACGACAACGAAAATCAAAACCTATTCTTACTATTGATTTAACGTCCTCAATTTCACTAACAAATCGAGTTTCGAATTTTTTGAATAATTCTGTAATACGATCTAAGAAAAACGGCGAAAACAATGTTAGAACAGATTTTATTAATTATTTCTAATTACGTACTTGATGCCGGCGATGGTGTCATTATTTGAGCAGTTTGTGATTGCTCGTCAGCATGTTGATCTTGTAAATTTTCTGGACTTATTGCTGATGTTATCATTTGCATTTTAAGGGGCATCTCTTTTATATAAATTATACCATTCGGCGCATCTATCTCGATCACATCAACATCATTTATTGTGGGATTATCAATAATAAAATATTCCTAGAACAGAAAGACTAATATGGTAAAGTACAAGAGCAAAATAATGTAGTGTACTTCTTTTCCACTTTTCTCTTGAAATAGATCCTCGTATCTTTCCAAATAACTTTGACCTGCAAACGCAGAAAATCAAAATCAACGTGGATTATGCTTATTAGATGCATATTATAAATGACTGTGATTCCACTATACGAAACACGATCGTAGAGAACTAACTTACTAGAACAAGCAAGTAATGCATTTTATTTTAAAAAAAACTGTATCTTACTTTGCATTCTAGTGGGTTGTCAATCATTTTAACATTTTCATAACCACTATAAAAAAAAGTAGAAAAAAGTTGATCAGCAAGAGTCAAAAATAAAACCACGTACATTCTTTTATTTTCTAGATGATTATTATATTCGAACAGTGATAATGGACCGTAACATATTTGACCATCGGCTAATGCAAACACATCTTTTTTCATTGGATCAGGATTACACTGATGTTCTAAACAGTGAAAACAAACGCAGTCTAAAAAAGTAATGTCTTTTTTGATAAAAAATTGCTACTCTCGATGACTTTGTTGTTCTGCTCAAATGTTCACATTTACTTGAGTGTCCTTTTACTAGACACGTATAGTTTACGGTACTTAAGCATAGTTTTACGGTACTTAAGCATTTTTTTCGATTGAAAGAATCTGTAAAAGTTCTAGGGAGATAAGCAGTTTTAGCATAATTCAGATGCAGGAATTGTTTATCAACATTCCTAGGTTTATCAACTAAGTCAACCATTAAGGTTAGTTCTCGTCTTAGAGCTGCTTTCTTAGAAGATATATGGAGTTCATCGTCCTCACTACTCATCTTTACGTCTTCATCACTCTAAATACGTTCGTCTTCCCCCTTCTGTTGATGGTTTGTGTCCACAAACGGTGCATTCTTCATTTTTTTATTTAACTATTACTAATTGGAATAATCGTCCAGAGTCAGTTATTTATCTTTCTTCTTTTATGTCTTTCAAAACAGCCTTACTTCAGTATCTCTTCCAGTGAAACGCTTGTCAGTTAAGCATTTATGCTTGTCCTTTTTTTGTTTTTTTGTAAAAAGTTTTTGTTTTCTTTTACTACTTCTGGTTCTAATCTTAGTTGTCTTCTTTATTTTGTTATTTCTTTTATTACTATTTTGGTGTTGTTTGGCTTGAGTCATTGTTACTAAAGGTCGGTAACCTTTAATGACTCTCACTTTTCGTGAATAAACAATCTTAGTCTTAGTCTTAGAGTAGAAAAACTATTACACACCTAATATTGCAAATGGAAAATCAAATGGAATAAGAATATCATTGACATCTGGTAAATCGGACATAATTTTTCGCAACTTTAACTGGTTTACAACTGTAAATAGTTGTGAGGAAAGGAGATATAAACCGGCAGAAACGGTGTATGAACTGCACAGTTAGAAAAGCCATACTATATGACTCTCATTTCCCGCAAAACAAAGCGTATCTGCCATAGTGGTGTTGAAATGGCCTCCTCGTGACTCATACGAAACAACAAATCCAGAGCACACTGTATCATGAAAGAATATACTTGATTAGCTTATTTTTTGTGACTTTTTTCTTCGTTGATATCGTTCTGAGTCGAGATGTCGTTGCTAACAAAATCGCTGCTAGTTATTAAGAAACATATCACTGACATTCTGCAGACCACCGCACCATCAATCAGGTATACGAGCGAACATATTTTTGAACATTAATAAATAATTATCATGAAACAAATAGCCCCATCATATCCGTTACAACTAATCTTACGAAAATCACACACATTGCTTCAAATTAATTTATTCAAAACAGAAGTTTCGACCATAACTATCTTCAAGCAGGTCCTCCCATATTTAATGAGTGGTCTAGAGGAAATTTATAAGAATTTTAAATTTAAATTAATTTGCCTGTTATGATCAGTTTCTTTTTCAAGTTAAAGCTGGTTAAAAAATTTCATTGTGGTACCAAAAGATACTATCGTTTTCAATGAATAACCCTGCAAAAAAACATAATGTCTGTCGACATAAAATTGATATTATTGATCATCAAAGTGAGTGCGGAAATTTTCTTGTTGATAAGGATGAAACCGACGAAACAGCTCATGTGAATATGCTGTTTCTTTTCGCTTCACTTCCTTTTTGTGTTGTTTTCTTAATTTACAGTAGGCACCAGATCAGATAATTCTCTTCTTTCATTTTTGCCTTGTGAAAAGTTTCTATTTCATACTTAAAAAAATTCGTGGTTGCAAAATTGGTCTTCAATCACGATCACGAGAGAAGTTGGTTTTTATCATACTCACGATCACGCGTGGTGGTGATGAACACGAAGGGTTCTATTACCATGTTTCATCGTCTGTGGATTGGTTTAAGCTTTAATTGAACTAGAACGAAATCGAGAATATAAATTTCCATTATACCATTCTGAAACTTAAACTATCAAAACACAAAATCAATCCTTGCACGAAGCTAGGATCGAACACACCACACGAACTTAATCTTTGCAGACGAACTGCAAAAATCAACTTCGCTGTTCTTTCCTATATTCTGCACAATGATTGAAGTTGTGCAATGACTCGATGTTATCCTTCAATGTATATTTGTTTTTGTGTTTTGTTTTTGGTTTAAGCTTTAATCTTGAACCAGAACGAAATCGAGAATCGTCTGTGGGTTTTCCTTCTGTGCTCTGACTGACTTCCAATACAACTTTAATAGTGGAAATGAAAAAATGAATATATTCACAAAGGCCATAGTATGCAAACTCCCGTTGCTGCAAAGTGATCTGAAACAATATTCACAAAATTTGCTGCGAAGTGTACTGTAAAGGAGAAAATTATTTATAGAAAATGCTCGGCGAATTTCAAAGAATCCATATATAAACTCCTCGAGCATTTTCTAGTTAACCTACCTAAATGATGATATTAGATCTAAAACATGGATACTACTAAACAAAATGTACAGATTATAATCTAAAATCAGAAGAATAGACATTAGAATGATAAGTTAGGTTACACACGGAATTGTAAATAGTCTAAATAAGTTAGCAAACAGAGTTCTCACTTGTTAATTGCAAAAGGTGTCTTCTCCGTCAGCGTCAAACCAGAAAAATAAAATAAAAATTCAGCAATTCAACTTCGATTTATTTCTTTTTTTCGTGAAAATGATTACACAAACAAACAACAGCGTGCTTTGCACGATTCAAGTGGAGACCATCCTTTTGTAAATGTTTTTTTGTAACTTGTAAATCTAATAAATCGAAATTGAATTGGCTGCTTTTTCTCAACTTCTCTAGCTTGCTGTCGTATAATTTAATTCTTTTTTGGATGTTTTTTCCGCCGTTATCTCCGTCTGAGCGGAAATAGACACTATCCTTACGTCGGTAAGGCACTTTGACGAGAGTCAGGGATATCGACGGATAGTCTTTATGAATATGACCTAATAGTTTTACCATCTCTTTTATCGCCAAATGTGAATTTTTTCTTCCTGGTGTGTTAGTTCCGATTGAAATGTAGACCGCTTGTTGATTTTGCATCCATGAACGTTTTCTTTTTTCATAGATTTTCAGCAAACGTTCAATCGTGCATCCGCTGAATGATTTAACAACATTTTCTACATTTTCTTCTGCTGGCAAATCGCGCGCTTCAATGTGTTTGATCAGACTGCTTCCCAGAAGTAACATTATGTCAAAATCTGAAGAAGTGGAACATTTTGTAAATCATTCAGCAGATGTACGATGTCGAAAACAGCAGCAAAGAAAACACACCGTCAGGAGATCATGGCGTGAATTGACACACTAGATAAAACTCTTATTCATTGAAACAGTTATGACAAGCGTCGCGAGTGAAAGTTGATCACAAC